CAAGGACTACCAAGGAGATGCTTGTGTCAGAAGAGAGACTGCACTTTGATTAATTTATCTTTCATTAGACTGAGGGTGATTAATCAAGGAGTGTCCCAAGTGCAGACTTATTTAAGTAGGATGGGGGAAAGATTCTTAGTATTCTTGAGGTCTTGCTTCTGCTCTGATAGAGACTAAGTATATATGGTTTTACAGGGTATTTTAGTTTTCATAGAGAGAAAGTGGGAAAAGATGTGTATGTGGAGTAGGAGAATGTTCTTGCAATGGCTGAGCCTACTTAAAAAAAAAAAAAAAAAAAAGAGAGCAAGCCCTTAGGAGCTGGAGAGCAAAGCGTCTGAGCCCCTGGACCTGGGCAAGGCTTCAAGTTGAAAACCAAGCAAGGGGAAGGGAGGGGAGGCTCCATTCCTGCACATTCAGGCTTCTCTGGGATGATGAGACCCATAAGGCACACAAGTGTTTGGGACAGGGCGGGTGTGATGGGAGCTTGCAGGTATTTATGCTTCACTGCTGTGAAATATGGATGAGAGCAGCGGGAGGAAGGTTGGGAAATTGGGCACAGGTCCCATGTGACTGGGTTAACTTCTCTGGGATGTCCCTGGTGCAATGCCCTAGGGGAAGGGAGCTTCCCTGTCTCTCCAGCCTTACAAAGCAATGCACTGTCTTGTTCTGGCTTGGCAGCTCTCCTTGCTGCCTTGCAAGTAAGCCAGCAGGTACTGAGCTAACATCTCTGCCTTCGTGTTCCCCAGGGACCAGTATGCAGCAACTTGGGTCTCAAGCCCGGCCAGCGCCTCACTGTCAAGGGGAAAATTGCACCAGGCGCCAAGAGGTAAGCTGTGCTGTGCTGCCCAGGCACGGCCAAGGCACCAGACTGAGTTGTCATCCACTGGTGGGGGAACATAAGGAATTCCTCCCTCGGGTAGGAGCGGAGCAGCTTTGGAAGGAGTTAACACTAGCAGCGCTTCCCAGTGAGTCACTGCCTGTGCACTCTGGAGATGAACTCTACTGCCAAGGGGATAAGCCAAAGCAGATGTGAAGCTCCAGATGTGTGCACTGGCAGTGACCGCATCCTCTCTAGCGCAGGGTAAAGGAAATGGGGAGTTGTGTCTATACTGAGATCTGGGTTGAGACCACCCCTGCAGCCACATCCTCTCCCCTGCATGAAGGTGGCCCAGGAGCAGGGACACTGTTACAGCACCTTGCTTCATTGGGCAGGAGGAGATTATGGCCCAAGCAACTGGGAGGTCTTGGGTGCTCTGGCTCCATGGATGCTCTAAGCCACAGCTGATGGTACAAATGGAAAGGCTGCATGTTGCAGTAAGAGGTCTCCGGGTGTGTTGAGGTTTGCTTTCACTCAGTGGAGGTGCCTCTCAGATGTTGATAAGGAAGGAAGGTGGTGAGCAGGCAGGTGGGATTGAATGGAAATGTGCTCCTGGCTCTGCAGAGATTAGGGTGTCTGGTGTCCCCAGAGAAGCTGCTGCAGCAGCCCCCAGCCCTTGTGCAGGTCTGTGGCTGGTGGGGCCCCTCGGTGGGTAATGTGGAGCCTGTAGCTGCTGTACCAGCACTAGCCATGTTCCAGGAAACATGTCCCAGCTCTTCCCAGTGCCTTTGAAGTGTGATAGCATCAGAGTGAAGCCTCCTGGGCTTTCTCTTGCCAAATAATATGCCTCTTCTCATCTGGGTGAGAGGCCCGGAGGCAAGATGGACACTGGGCTAGGAAGCTGCTTCCTCCCACTGACACTGCAGATGCTTTGGGATAGCTAATGACATGGTAATTATTTGAGCTGCCTGCAGGGTGGGGAGAAGACAGTGGCTGTCTGGCAGGCTGCAGCACCAGCTAACTGTTTGAGGCTGGAAGGAAATCTGTGAAAAGCAACAGACTCCTTGGGAGCTGGTTTGGGTGCAGGATAACTCCAGGGCTCTAAGTGCTGAGCTTTTTTTCTTGTTAGAAGCTTTGTGGAAAGTAAGCTGCGTCTGTCTCTCCCAAGGATGGCACTGTGGGGCCTATCACCCCAGCAGAGGAGAGTACCCTTTACTGACACAGCACCATCTTTTTAGGGAAGCTGTGAGGTTTAGAAAAGGGTTTATCTTTGGTTACCCTCAACTGGGCTTGAAGCAGGCAGACCCAGAGATGCTCATGGTAGTCAGCAACGTGTTACCATAGTATTGATTAAAACAGTACCAATGTCGTCTTTCTCTGCAGCTTTGTGATGAATCTGGGGAAGGATGCTTCCCACCTCGGGCTTCACTTCAACCCCCGTTTTGATGCTCACGGTGATGTGAACACCATCGTGTGCAACTCAAAGAAGGTGGAAGAGTGGGGTGCAGAGCACAGGGAGACTGTCTTCCCTTTCCAGAAGGGGGGTACAGCAGAGGTGAGGCCTGGGACACGCTCCCTGTCCGTGCCTGATGAAGGGAGGGCGTTTGGCACGGGACACCCGACTGCAGGGGCTGTCTCAGGGCTGTCTGTGCAGGAGGTGGTTGGCTTCTCCTGCTTGGTTAGTGCCACCACCCAGGGCTCTGAACAGTGATAGAGGGTGGGGATCAAATGTGCAAGCTCCATCTAATTTAAGGGGATGTTACAATTGAACTGAGCAGAAAATAGGCATCTCTTGGGAGACCAGAATAACACTCCTGCAGTTGAAGAGCAGGTTATGCTGCCGAGTGTGTTCACCCTGCAAAGCAGAGGATGGCACAGCAATGCTGTCAGGGGGAAGACTTGAGGGTATCTTGGCAGAAACTTTCTCTGACTCTTCCATTTGTCTTGCAGATCACTTTTGGCATCAACCAAAATGATGTGACAGTCCACCTGCCAGGCCATCAGTTTACATTCCCTAACCGGCTTGGTCTCGCTGTCTTTGATTACTTTGATACACAGGGGGACTTCACACTCCAGTCCCTCAGCTGGGAATAACTTCCTCTGACACCTCCATCTCAAAGATACAGAAAAAGTGATCAATAAATAAGTGTTTTGGTCTAACCAGTCTCAATCTCATCTGTTTCATACTCTAAGCCCACATGGGTTGGTCACCTTGTTGGAGGGGGTGGTGGGTGGCCAACTTTGTTCAAGTACCATATGTGGGTGGGATTGAGAGGAGGGTGAGGGTCAAAAGCCTGCTAGGGCAGAAGGCAAAAAGCCCAAGGACAGTCTCGGCAGAAAACATTGGGAAAAATCCTCAATTGTGCTAGCTTTGGCCTGTACCACTCTGTAGAGGTCGGTCCTACCCATGACTCAGCTCCCCTGTGTTTTCTTGGGACCTCTTGCTGTTGCAGTGGGACAGTACTATGGTGTGATAGAGCATGCAGTGGACTCCTCATCCAAATCCTTTCTTCCAATAACTGCATAAGCACAAATATTTTTGGGCCACAGCTCATGTGGCACATAAGGGCAGTAACCTGCAGGGATCTGGTTTTTCTTCTGCTTCCTATGTGTTGTCTGGTCCAGTTAGAGCTAGGAGAGGTAGCAAGGCCCAGCTGGGGTGCGGGATGTTAAGGATGTGTCCACTATGCTTTTGTAACCCTTTCACTCATTAGCCCAAATGAACCTGAGAGCTTCCCGGTCTAAAATGAGGCTAGCCTCTGAGGAGTCTGGAGATGATGAGGCATGGTTATGCTACAGCATAGTTCTCAGTGAGCTGTGAGTTGTTACTCCAAGGTGTCAGCCAGCAGCTGCCTTGGGGGGCTCTCCCAGTATAATGCTACTTTGGCAGCAATGACTACTGCTGTTGGGCAGGCTGTGCCTGGTGGGCATAGGAAAGGTGGGAGCTGCCCTTTCCGCAGTGCACAGTGGTTACCAGGTAGACCTGGTACAGAAGGACCTAATCTCTGGGTCGTCACTTCCAGGCTTGACCATGAGCAACATGAAGCACAAGCAATCTGATGTCCTACAAGGATTCCCTGCGGGCCTGGCTGGGCCAATTCTTCCCATTAAGCAGTTGCAGAGCAGCTGGAGCACAGGAACTTGCTCCTGTGGCAGCAGCACCTCGTGTATGTGTTCCATAATTCACGAGGCTCTGCCAGGTCCTGTGTCTCAGGTACCCATGCAGAGGGAGGCTTGGCTGCTAGAAATTGGGGGGACCTGAGGAGTAGGATAGAGATGAGTTGGAGACAATGGCTCAGGATGGGCTTTTGAGCTGGGAAGCAGGAAGACTTGCAGTATACCAGCAACCTGAGGCTCTGCAGCTGGATCTCTCTTGAAGCCTCATGTTGCCCAAAGCCGGTCTGCTCTGGATAATCATATCCTGCTTTTTCGGGCTACATCTATAGTAGCATACTGGGGTACGTTTGGTAGGCCAGAGAGCTGGGGATTTCCTCGACCACAGCAGGGACATGGTGCTGGTGAGGGCCCCCTCCATGAACAGTGATGATGGACATGTAGCGGAGGTGTCTCCCTACAGCTTCCTCTGCTGGGCTGATCTTGAAAGCTGAGCAAATGCGCCGACCTCCCCAAGCTCTACTTCGGGGCAATCTCACACTGTATCTTAACTGCACTTGAGAGTCTTTTTTTAGAAAGACTCTTCAAAGATTTTTTTCGTGGAGGGTGGGGGAAGAAAGCTGAGTGTAAGCTTTACCACAAGAGGATGAACCTTATTCAGGTCTCCTGCTAGCGTGGCTGCTTCTTGAAGTGACTCACTGGCCCTGTGAAATCTGTGACTCACTGTTGTCCTGACTTTGTTATGGCTCAGCCCCGTTGCTAGCGAGGTGGTGAGGGGTGGTGAGGGCTCCCCAGCTGTATAATTTAGATGTATCGAGGCTGACTGCTCCCTTCCACCCACTCCTCAGCCTTGCGCAAGGTGAGGCATGTGAGGGCTGAAGGACCTTGAGGATGGAGTCAGGCTCCCCCAGATAAGCGCCTTCCCCCGGCCAGCTGAAGAGGGTGAGGGGCAGGCATTGCAACAAGGACGATGGAAGGCACTGCACGCCATCGCGAAAGGTGATGCACTTTTATTTCTCAACTTGACCCCAGCCAAAGGCTGGGAGACGCTCCTAGCCTGGGGTGCTGCTCACCCCTCACTTTCCCCCGCAGACCCTGACAACTCCCCGAAAGGCGGGGGGATGCCGTGGCCTCCCACCGGGCCCCCCGTGGTCTCCCGGGAGGTTGCTGGAGGCCGTGCCATGCCCATCCCGCTGCGGCCGGGGTGCCGGCGGTAGCTGCTGGCGAGCAGGGTGTAGAGGAAGGGGTTGACGCAGCTGTTACCATAGGCCAGGCAGGTGACGCCGAAGTTGAGGTATGCCTGGGCGGTGGGGCTGATGCCCAGCCCCTCGCCCCAGTACAGCCCAGCCAGCTGCCAGGCCCAGAAGGGGAGGAAGCAGGCCCAGTAAGCCACCAAGATGACGGAGATCCTGGAAAAGAGCCGCCGGGCAGGGACCCGGCCGGCCACCGGCAGCCCCGGGCCCCGGGTGGAGGACCGGTACGCCTGAGCCAGGCGGGTGTAGACGATGCCCAGCACCGTGCCGGGTGCCAGGATGCTGGTGGTGAAGAGCACCGTCAGGTAGAGCCGGAAAGCTGCCGGCGTCCAGGTTGGGATGCAGATGCGCTTGTGGGGGCCACCCCCCTCCCGCAGCTGGGTCATTGCCATCATGGGAGCCGTGAGCAGGAGGGCGAGGAGCCAGAGGACAGCGCTGGCCAGCTTGCGGTAAGCGTTGCCAGCCTGCCTGGCCCGCAGCGGCTTGGCCACCGCCCAGTACCTCTCCAGGCTCATGGCAGTCAGGAGGAAGATGCTGGCGTGCATGGTCAGGAGGTCCAGGCTGAGCAAAAGCCTGCAGCCCACGTCCCCAAAGAACCAGTCATGAGCAAAATAGGTGCAGACCACAAAAGGGATGGTGGAGAGGTACAGGAGGTCAGCCAGGGCAAGGTTGATCACATAGACCCCCAAGGAGCCTGCTGAGTGGCCCTCCACCCTGCCAGAGGCCACCACCACCGTGTAGATGTTCCCCACCATCCCAATGAGGCACACGGCCAGCAGCACTGCGCCCAGTGGCCCTGTGACTGGGCTGTCCCCTCCCAGGGCACTGCTGTCGTCAACCCCGCCGCTGCTTTCCTCCAGGAAGCTGCCACCCTCAGGATCCTCTCCGGGCCTTGCACTGATGAAGGAAGGGTCGTAAGACATCTTTGGGTAGAGCGAGCAAGAGAGAGTCAGGCTGTCAGAGACCTGTTCCTTCCCCTTGCCTTCCTCCCTCCGCCCTACGGGACACGTCTAGCCTTAACAGGAGAGCAGGTGAGGGAAGGGAAGAATAGCGAGAGTTCATCAGACATAGGGTACTCCAGAGAAGTCTATTCCTCACCTCCAGCTGCCCAGTCCGTTTTGATGATCTTGTCCATAACAGGCTCTGTCCGGTGGTTTCCCTTAACAGTCAAGGAGCTGAGAAAGGGACACTGCCCTCCCCTTCAAGACCAGTAGGTGCAAAATAACCTCTGCCAGCCAGGAGGAAATGTTTCTGCTCTTCACCAGCTCCTCATTTGTTTCTCCTCCAGTGTTCGCTGGGCCCACGGGAACCAGCGGACTCAGTGGACAAGTGGATTTCTCCTCCCAGGTCTGCGTCCTCTCAGCTCAGACAGACTCTGGGGAGGTGGGCTCTGCCCCCCCCTGAACCAACCCTTGGAAAGTTGCCTTGCCCACTGCACAGAGGAATGTGTCTGACTCACAGCTTCACACACAGGTGCGAATGCAGACCCAGTTTATTCTGGGCTTTTAGCCACTAGCAGAGGAGCCCTACTGGCTCCCTCCTCTTTCTTGCAGACACACTCTTTCTTTCCCCAAGTCTTCCTGCCCTTTCCTTCTGCTCCCTCTTCCTTCTTGCTCTTGTTTCCCCTTCTTTTTCCCATTTCCCCTTCCACAGTTGTCCTCATTTGAGAGAGGAGATGACTGAAAGCCAAGACTCTAATGTGGCAAAGGGAGGAGGGGAAGCATCACACAGAGGCTTTAGAAGGGAAACAAGGGCCAGCCCTGAAAGTGCAATAGGCAGGAAGCTGCCGCACTGCTCCGCTTGGTCTTTAGCCAAGCCGGGCTGAGAGGGCCTGTCCCCCACCCCCTCCCAAGGACATCAGGGTCCCTCGAGGTGTAGACAGTGGATGTAGCCCCCAGTTTGCAAGCAAGCCCACCAAATGGTGGGACATCTCACATTTTCTACAACCTGGTCCTGTTCTACCCTTGTCCCCCAGTCAGCAGCAAGCTCCTATAAACTCAAAGGGCTGCACATTTTAGACCCGCTCTTTCTTCCCTCTCCCCAAAGACCATCCTCCTTCTCTAAGCTTTCCCCCTCCCTCCCTCGTCGCTCCAGGACCTGCTGCCTCACCTCAGAGCAGGGAGCAGAAGCCTGTCATGAGGGCACCATTGCCTTCTAGTGGGACATTGCTGCGCGACACCAATGCCCTTCTGTGGGGAACACTACCCTGCTCTTTCTTCACCCGCTTTTGAGCCCCATTCGTCTCAGGGAACAGACATAGAGAGACAGAATTTGCAGAGCAGAGACAGATGTGCCATTACCAAACACGCTCTGCTGTTAATTCACAGGGGTTTTCAGGCCACTCCACCTACACTCTTTTGCAACCTCAGTGTATTACTTTTGTTGTGGCTGAGTTAAACGCCTCCACTCATCTCCAGCAGCAATAACTCAGCAGCAAACAGGAGAAGGAAGCATCCTACTGATACTGCTCTCACTGCACCGAGCACCTTCCTGACCAATGTGCAGCATGCTACTGCAACAGCTTCAGCATGACCGTGCCACAGGAGTGAACGTAGGGCACAGGGCACTGAGGGAGGCAACTTCAGAGGCTGGCAGCTGGGTCACACTCTCTTCTCCCCAGAGAACTGAATTTGCAGGTCATTTAGATGGGGCTTGACCTTCTTTTTAATGGATATTTTCATGTTGCCAGAACCAAAAGGCACTTCATTTTGGAACACAAGCTTTGCAATGGCTCTTGGTTTTTAGGACAATCGTGCTCCAAACTGGGGGAGATCAACAAACTGCAATGAAAATACACTTTTCAGTGGAAAGCTCCATTGTGCCATGGCAGCAGGATGAGCGATGCCACTTCCCATCCAGGAAGTTGATGCTCCCAACAGGTTGTGGTGGTCGCAGCACAGAGGGGCCCCCCTTGGACCGTGCTTTTGCCCATTTGGCTCTGATGAAAAGATTCACCGTCCACGTGCCCTGGGAAATGCAATGAAGCACCATTTCTCCTTGCTCTGAATGTCTGTGCCTTTTTGCAAGAAACAACCTCATGCCTTACAGTTAGCAGCTCAGCTCATTTAGGAAGCTACAATAAATTACAATGGAATTTTTAAATTAATTTCTTTAGGAGATAATTAAAATACTGTTTGCCTCATTAATTCCAGTTAGCTCCCCTTAACACATGAGATGCCTACTCTCACACTGCCCGTGTAAAACTGCAGACACATCAGATTCTACAGTCATCAGCAGAACTCAGCTGGTCCTTCCAGCACGTGAAACATAGCTCTCCCTGGAGAGTTTTAAGAGATGATCTTTAAGATATGAATCATGGGTTGATTTAGTGGTTAGAGCTAACTGTTACTAGAAGGACGTGAACATACAGACTTTCTGCTACTACATAAAATTATATGTGTATGTAATATACAATATATACATACATAATGTATAGGGATGAATGAAAGCGTTAGGCCTTTGACATACAGAGAATGAGGGAGCAGAGATCCATGTATTACTAACTTCAGACATCAACCTCTAGGCTCTAGTAAAGTCAGCAGAGAGTCCAAAGTCTGTATCAGACACCACAGGCTGCTCTCTGCTGGACCCAACCTCTCTCTATGGGTTTGACTAGAGACGTAAATTTGACAGCTGAACGTCAATGGCATGAATAGCCCTCACAGTATCTTCCCTAGGGCAATATTCCACCTCCCACCACTTTTTGTTACGTGCGCACACACACGCACACTACCCACATACACACAAGTATACACACACATTGAGCAGATCTCCTAACCCTCTCTGTAGCAATCAGAGGAAGGTCTTCACACAAATGTGATCTGAAGAAGCTTTCAAGCCCATACATGGCAGGAGGAAACAGGCCTCACATTTGGCTGTTAGATTACATCTTTTAAGTGACTTTTCTCAACTACAGTTCCAACTGATCAAATATCTAGATGTTTCACATCTCTGTCACCAGCAGAGAAGCCATTTCTTGAAAAGAAACTCTCTCCTACTCCAGCAGCCCCTGCAACCCACTGGGACATAGCTCCAGCCAGGCAACTGTCTTCTTGCATAAGGTATGTGGCTGCAGTTTCATGCAGGAGTGATGCCAGGTCCCATGTCCAGCACAGTGCCAAGTTTTCAAGGCCCAACTGACAGGCAAGGCCTGCTGGTGTCCAGTCAGGTCACAGTAATTTAACAGTGACAGGTTGCACTGAGGATTCAGACTCACAAGGTCTTGCACTCGAAAGGAAGCAGCTCGACTTGGCCCCCAGAACAAAGTAGACTGTCTATGGGGAAAAAAAGTGCTTCAAAGGGTGCTTCAAAAGCAGTGTTTCTCCGATGTCGATCCCCTCTCCTCTCCTGACAGCCCACCCAACAGAACCAGGTAGAGTCGAGTCATAGTGAGGTTCTGGCACAGCTTCCTAGGATTTAAACTTGAAGTAGGCTTCAACTGTAGTGCAGAAAAAAAGTGGTGTGTTAGGGCAATACCCTGGACCAGAGTGGCAGGAGGGGAAGGAAACAACATCCAGGCACTTACTTGCATACTCCTGTGGTGTCATGGCCTGGTTGATGATGCTTGTGAAGGCTGTGATCCAGTCCAGCTGGTCGGTCTCCGTCTCGCAGGTGAAGAGGTATTCCCGGTCGGGGGTGACAATGGTGAGGCCATAGGGCCAAGAAAAGTTGCCCTGTGTCCCCGAAGGCAATCCCTTCTGGACGCTATATCCATTCTCTCTGCTGCCCACAAACACCTCACCCTTCGCAAATGCATCCTGCACATCAGGACGGAAAGAGAGGGATTTACAGAATCCCAGAAGAACCAGGGAATAGTAGCAGTGCACCTAAGGACAGGAGGAGAGTGGGTGAGGGCCAGGGATGTAGCAGCAAAAAGACTTGAAAGTGGCTGAGGGATTCAGAAGAGCAGGGATGCTACGCTCAAGGGCAGCAGCGGAAAGAAAAATTTAAGAGCATAGATCTTCAGACATCTGAGAGAGGAACTGCTGCTCCTGCCTCTCCGTGTCACCCCCCATGTCACCCTCCTCTCCATCACCACCTTCCCACCACTACCCTCCCTGTTGCCATTGTCTGCGGGCAGTGAAACAACACAGAAAGCATGGGATGAATTAAGTGGGATGGAAAGGGCTTCCCTAGGTCTTCTCTAGGTCTTCACCTAGAGTCTGCTCAGCAGCTGGGGAACCTGCAAGCCTCCCTTACAGCAGCACATAGACTCTGGTTGCACTTTGACCCTGCCCTCAGCACTGTTGCCTGCAGCTGCCGGAGGTCAGATCTCCCCCTCACCAAAGGGTCCTTGAAGTACATGAGCCTGCGGTGATCCAGCGTGAACCAGCGCTTCTTAAAAGCCTCTCTCTGCTGTGAAGGGAAGAGGTGACACATGTAAGGGGACAGTGCCCTCTGCCGTAAGCAATGCGAATGGGTACCCAAAATTCATCCCAACCACTTGAACCAAGCCCCTGCCTTAGCAGCAACCTCCTCCTCGCCCTTTCTAAGCTGAGAGTGGGGATCAGTATCGGGTTTTTCAGTCCCAACTGCTGTCCCCAACTCTTGGACTTCTGTGAAGGACCCCAGAGCGGAGACAGGAGAAATCTAGACGCTAAATACCTGTACGGTCACGCACACACAGACACATGCAGAGAGATCTGTTGTTCTGGGAGAAAGCATGGACTCTGGCTTCATCTACTTTCACATGTGTCCTTCCCCTTCCTTTTATTCTCCCCTCCCTTGGTGCACACACACTGTTCCCATGGGTTTCTAAAGAGTCAGGGGGGAATGGGGAAACAGCAGGAGAAAAACATTGAAGTAGGGAAGGTCAGTGGCTCTCTGGGAGGTCCCTGTCAGATTTATTTCTCCCACAGCAGCTCACCTTGGGACCAGTCTTCTCCATGTATCCCTCCTTCAGGAAGTTTCTTGTCAGCCGATTTTTAATCTGACAAAAAGGCAAGAGTAACATTCACTTAGCCGTGTTTCTTTGCTATTCGCTTTTGCCCCCAACCCTTCCTTCTATTCCCCCAAATTCAGCCGCCTTTTAAATTCACGTTTGCAGAACTGCCTAGCCAGGGGTCAGTTCTGTCTCCAAAGTGCCCAGAAACGGCAGAGAGCGGTTGTTCTCTGGCCATCACAGGGCCTTTTACACACACTTTCTCATCCCTCTATCTAAACACTGCAATTTCCACTTCTGTACCTGGGGGTCTAATAGTAGCTAACGGGATCTTTTATCACATAACCAAGTACCAGCGGGAGACTCAGCACTGCACTCTATGGCTGCCTTACCTCATTATCGCTGGCAATGGGAAATGCTACCTTTAGATAATGGAACTGCACGGAGCGAATGGCATTGTACCAGTCCACTACCTCCTGAGAACAGAAAAGGACAGGACAGAAAGCTTAGCCAGAGCGACAGTGAGCCATCTAAATTCACCCAGCTGCACCCAACCCTATGTTAACCACAAACACAGCCAGCTCTCCCTCCCCAGCACCTGTAGCATCTCCCTCACATACACACAGCCAGCACGGCTGCCCCATTCCTCACATGCACAGGCAGCACATCTGCACATCTTCTGCGGCAGCTCCTCCCACACAAACCAACTCAGCCAGCGTTCCTGCCCTGCTCCCTGCAGCAAAACTCTCTCACAGACACACAAACACAGAGCCAGAACCTCCACCCTGTTACCTACAGCAACTCACACACGCACACCCCGTCCTACTCATGCTTCACACTGCTTAGTATCAGCAGCTTCTCAAATCATCTCAACTGCTTTGCAGTGTTTGATGCTAAAACCAGATACCTTTCCACTTTCATGGTAGACAAATATATTCCGGGTCTTGTTGTCTTTGAGATAGGTGATCTGCAGGCCATTGGGGTTCCCAATCTTTGCTGGCTGGAATGTAGCATTGATGACATCAATTTTAACATTGATTTTGGGTTCTTTGGCCTGAAAACAGAATGGCATTTGTCATGCATGAGACATCCTAGTGGGAAAGAGACCTGAGCTACTGACTTAGTGGGGTAAGGCAGGGTCAGAAGGCTTTAAAAGGTAATAAGTGCCCCTTCCCACTAAAACTGTTGTATCACTCACTCCCTTCACTGTGTGGCATGCTTGAGCCCAAACAGTGGTCCAGGCCCTCCAATTTAGATTTGAGCTGTGCCTACTCTGGAACTGCTAGTGAAACACTGAGAGTGCATCTGACTTTACAGCTGAGCCAGTCTAGAGGCTGACCGACCTCAAAAGGAAAGAGCCCATTCCTAGAATCACAGAATCATAGAATGGTTTGGGTTGGAAGGGACCTTTAAAGGTCATCTAGCACAACCCCCCCTGCAATGAGCAGGGACATCTTCAACTAGATCAGGTTGCTCAGAGCCCTGTCTAACCTGACCTTGAATGTTCCCAGGGATGGGGCATCCACCACCTTTCTTGGCAACCTGTTCCAGTGTTTCACTACCCTCACTGTAAAAATGTCTTCTTTACATCTAGTCTGAATTTACACTCTTTTAGTTTAAAACCATTACCCCTTGTCCAATTGCAACAGGCCCTGCTAAAAAGTTTGTCCCAATCTTTCTTGTAAGCCCCCTTCAAGTACTGAAAGGCAGCAGTAAGGTCCCCCTGGAGCCTTCTCTTCTCCAGGCTGAACAACCCTAGCTCCCTCAGCCTTTCTTCATTCAGGAGGTGTTTCATCCCTCTGATCATTTTTGTGGCCCTTCTCTGGACCTGCTCCAACAGGTCCATGTCTTTCCTGTGCTGAGGACTCCAGAGCTGGACACAGCACTCCAGGTGGGGTCTCACCAAAGTGGAGCAGAGGGGGAGAATCGCCCTCCCTTGACCTGCTGGCCACGCTTCTTCAGATGCAGCCCAGGATATGGATGGCTTTCTGGGCTGTGAGCGCACAGTGCCAGCTCATATCGGGTTTTTCACCCACCAGTATCCCCGAGTCCTTTTCTGCTCTCAATCCCTTCCTCCTCCATCCTGTATTGATACCTGGGGTTGCCCCAACCCAGGTGCAGGACCTTGCACTTGGCCTTGTTGAACCTCATGAGGTTCACACAGGTCCACTTCTCAAGCTTGTCCAGGTTCCTCTAGATGGCATTTCCCGCTCCTACCTACCCCAGGCCACTCCCTGCCTTGCGATAGTATATTAGCACTTGCCCCATTCATTTCAGGGAGATGAACGAGCAGAAAAGTAGCCCTCCTCAAAACAAATAATCTGAACAACAGGTTTTTGCCAACTTGGCTCACAGTGGGCTGAGGCTGGTTCCAGGGATGCTGCAGGATTGATCACACAGCCAGGCAAATGGATAGAGGTGAAGTGAAAGATCAGCCCTTTTATCAGCAGTAAGGGAAGGGTGTAGGGAAGCACAAAGGGAGAACATGGGGAAATGTCACCCTGACAGTAGGAAGGGGGCCCCTCTCCTCAGTGACATGTTTCTGTTATCATCCCTGGCCTGGGATGAGCAAGGCAACCTCAGAAACATGCATAGAAAATAGGAACATCTTTTTGACCCTGCTCCCCTGGGTGGAGTACACACTGAGGTGGGAGTTGACCGCCATACTCACATCCTGCTTGGTAAAATACTTCAGACATCCCTCTCTCTCAGACAAGAGGAACTTGCGGGGTAGGAACTGCCCATTGTCTCGACCTCGCTTCCAGAGGATGCCTTCCTTCACACCTGGGAGCAGAAAGGCCACTATTAAGAGCATCCCCCCCACAGGCATGGTAGGCATCAGAGAGCTGAGTGCGGCCTGGGGTCCCAGCCACACCTCTGGATAAAGCACATGATGGACCACTGCTGAGAACACTTGAGAAGGAGAGATCTCACCTCTGACTTACGGCTGAAGGTGGTGGTATTCCTGGGTTTGCAGCCCAGATAAGTAGTCACCAAAAGACATTCCCAGATGCTTCCCACCTCCTAGTCCAGCTGCTACTACTGCCTCTGACAGTGTGAGAGCCGTTTCTCCTGTGAACACTGGAGTCCTGGCCCATGTAGACCCTGGCATGGGTCCAGAACTCTTCCCACTTGACTCTGCAGGACCCTGGGCTCCAGTGCCTTGTGTCACAGCACTGGCAGTGACATTTCAAAGACAACTGCCATGGTTGGACTGGGTGGCATGCAGCAGGACAGAAATACCCTACTGCAGAGGTCTGGCACCACCACGACAGCAAATACCCTCGAAAAATGCCAACTGGTAATACCAGACTTGGAAGCAAGCCACGGCAGTGCCAAGCTATGCTGCCCACAGTTCAAAAACACACATATATCCCCCAGCAATGCCCTGTAAGTACCGGCTGGGTTCTCAGAAGTACTTTTGGGATTTGCAACATTGACACTATGGGCTTTCTCCTCATGGTAAGTGAAGGCAACAGGCAGGAAATTCTGATGCTGTGCTCTGCTCTTACCATCAGAATATGGCAGCTGTTTTCCTGGCTCAGTGAACTCTTTGCGTTCGTATTTGGCCCGTATCCACTGTTCTCTCAGCACTCTACGGAGAGAGGTGACAGACATCTCAGAAACAAACTAGAGGAACCCAGAACTGCCCTTCCCCCTTTCCTTCTGTATACAGCAACTTACTGGCAGTCATTGTAGGTTGGCTGGTAATAGTAAATAGGGATGTGAGCTTCATATGTGGCTTTAGTCACAGCATTCCCGTGCTTGGCCAGAAACTGCGGAGTTAGACAGAGAGTTAGTGCCTTCCCTCTGATGCAGACTCATGTTGGGCCTTTTTCTTTCCTAACCCACTACAGGGCTAGATGTAAACTGAGCTCTAATGGAGCATTCTCTTTCCCCTCCATTGAAAAATCCCAGCAAAGTCTGGCTACAGAAAGGTGGGTCTCAAAGGTCTTGTCCACTCTCAGACGTTACACTGATTGCACCTGATTCAACAGAATGCCATGAATGTCACTTCCGTGAGGCTGGGTGCACGCACAATCAGTGGATTTGCTGCCATGCCCCACATCTCTGGGGAGAGGAGTTCAACAACAGCTCTGCAATGCCATCTGGGAGGACATTCCGGACATCTTTGCTCCTCTCCAAAAAGCAGTGAGATACAGATTTTTTTCTTTGGATCTCTGGAAAATCTTTCCAGTCCCCTGAAGATTAATGCATTGAGAGGGGTGTAATGGGGAGAAGTCAAGTTCTCATAAATGCCATTTTTCTCAAGAGATCATATATCTGGGAACTCTTTCTGGAGCATGGAATGGCCCAAGATTTTTCCCTCAGACTGCTGAAACCAAGAGGAGACATAGAGGCTGGATGGTGTTGGCAAGTGAGAGATGAGTAATCTGGTGCGATAAAGACCCCGTGCCTTGACAAATTACACTGCAAGAGCTCTGAATTTGCAATAAAGTAACGGGACATGGAGCGACACCTAAGGCAAATGCATCCTCCCTCGCCCAGTGGGTTATGGGGAGTTATCCCCGCTTGAGTAACCAGAGCATGATTAGCAAAGGGACAGATTAAATCAGATTAAATCTCCAACTCTGTGTGGCCAAAGGGCTGATTTTCCCAGCACAGTTAGTGTATTGCCTAGACCCAACCCACCTGACATACCAGTGGGGATAAAGATCTTACCTGCACCTGAGCATCATCCCAGTGGTCCATCTTCAGGGATTTGACTTTGCTGATGCTAGGGATGTTGCGGTGAATTCCTGAACAGCTGAGGCATATAAAGACACCCAAAGTAGAGGATGCCCAGTCAGGATCTAAGGGTATAAAAAAAGGTATGACTAGAAGTCATAAACTCCCCTGGGACATATGCCTCAGCTGAGAACATATGCCTGAGAAACAGAGCGACAAGACCACAATTTCATCTGACCTGATTAATTAACACCCAAGGTACAGGTGCCAGTCTGGAAAAAACATAGCTGTTAGTCTCTCACCCCTCCTGTTTCGACCACTTCACCTGAATCTCTATTGACCTGAACCTTGAAAAACTTCCAAGAGCTCTGCAAACTCCCTTTGTGTAAAGGGGCACCCACAATGAAAATGAAACTACCTCTGGGAAAAGACTCCAGGAGCTGTTTAGCGCAACACAGCAAACCCCCAACAATATTTAGCTCAGGAAGTAGAAAGCAGCCTTGAAACCAAAATTTTCCTGGGCAAATTTAAGAAGGCAAAATGGTACTAATTAGGCTGGTCTCAATTTGGCTTGGGTGGTACGCTCCACACGCCCCTTTTGCGAGGAGTACGATGGGTGTTTTTAGCGGTGCCTGTAGGAGCTCAAACTGGGTACCCTTTTGAGAGGGCAAGTCCTCCCGTAAAAGAAATCTCCGAGGTGCCTGTGGCAGGTTGTCAGTTCAGAGCTGAGTCACGGAGGAGACAATGCCCTCCTGAATCATGATTTCATTCTGGAGCAGTCAGGGTTTCACTGGGAGTTTTCCTGTCAGGTCCTGACTGGGCATGACCTTGATTTGTATTTGAGATCTGACATGACTGCAACCCACAGCGCTGCAGCTACACCGTCCCTTCTCATCTAGCACTACCACGTCCCTGTCCTTCTTCCCACCAGCTCTGTCACAGCATCTCCTTCTTTCTCCCTTGACAATTCACCTCCAGGGAGAGGAAACGAATATCTGGAGCAATGCCTCTCCTTCCTCTCCACCCCAGGCTCCTGTCCCAAATAGCGACCAGCCCCAGCTCCCTGCTTTTGACTCTTCCTCTAGCAGGCAAGACCTCAGATACTCACCTGGCTTCCCACAGTCTGCACACAGAGAGTTTTCGGCTCTTCTCCACACCTCCTTCAGGGCCTTCATCCTCCGCTCGTGTCCTCCGGCCATCACCTCCCAACGCTATCCCTCCAGGCGGGGCAGGGCAGGGCCAGGAGGGCAGCTGCCTGCAACCTTCTGCACCTGCAGGCCAACCCGCTGGGTTGCCCAAGGAAGAAGAAAGCCACCAGAGAGCCAGAAGCTCTGGCAGACAAAGGGAAGGCAGGAGAAACTGTAAGGTGAATGGAAGAAGTGCGGAGCCGGCTGGGCACAGGCAGGGGCGAAGAGGCTGGAGGCTGAAGTGCACCCAAACTGCGAGGGAGGAGGAGGAGGAGACCTGCCCCATGGGCGTGGAGGGAAGTGCAGCAATTAACCACAGAACTGGTTTTTCCGCATTTCTGCTGGTGAGAGGACAGGCCAGGAAAAGAGCGAAAGCAGCAAGGGAGCTGATAAAGGCAAGGCGGCCCTGGACCAGCGTCAGCCAGGCCGTGTCAGAACTCGTGTCGGGACTCGTCACGCTCCGTGGGCTGGGGCGGTTGGCTTCGGCTGCCCCCGCAGCGCTTCAGGAGCTTCCATCAAAGTCAGCTGGCCCCCACATCAGCATTACACCCATTTTTAAAGCGAGGACTGGAGGGCAAGAAAGGTTCAAGAGTTCAGCGATAGTCGCTCAAGCCAGCAGCCGAGAACGCGACAGCCCCGATGCCCCCATCGCCTTGTGCCAGTCCCTCTCTCCACCACTACAGAAACCGTGGCTGTTCAGCCAGGTCCTGCATCTTGGACACTCAGTGCCTGAGCAGAGACCTGTCCTTGTGTTGTGCCTCAAACAGGGTTCGTCACCCGGTGTGCAATAAGCCAAGATAGCAGTTTATTTCATATTTGTGCAAAGAGAGGTGCTAGGTGGCAATTCCACAAAGCTAGCGCACCACACAAAAGAACTTCAGGGTATTTATAGACTCCAGACTACATGGATACACATTTACTATATTAACCTCTACTTAGTTTCTTATCCCTTTATCACTCATCAGTTAACAACATGCCTTGTCTTGATTTAAAGTTACAGTGTGTTTTAATTTTCGAAGCATACGTCTCACAAAAGGAGGCAGCATTATGAATAATATATAAAACAAGTAAATCAATCCTTGAATACAATCTAAATCAGAATACAACTTAATGGATTCCCAACTACAGTTCATTGGATTCTCGAAATCTTCAGCTTCTGGATTCCTCAGAAAACTACTCTTCCTTTGGAGCCTCCTTCACTCGCGTATAGTGTATCCAGCCCTTAACAGTGGCATAGGTGACCAACAGTACCAGGCAAGGTCCTTTCCACTGTTCCTTTAAAGGCTCATCCTTCCAAGTCCAGATATACATTCTGTCACCTGGCTAGAAGTCATATACTGGAGTATCTAAAGATAGAGATGATCGCTAGTTTAAGTACCTTTTTACCCTTAGACAACTCCAAGGCTCAAGTTAGAGCTATAATTTCTGATTTTTGAGCGCAAGTATTGGGCAGCAATGCTCGTGCTTCAGCCTCTTTTTGTTGGGTTACCACAGCATATCCAGCCGTCCATACCCCATTCCCCATGAAGCTGCTCCCATCTTGCCGCTCTCTCAGTTCTTTGGCAAGTACACTACCGAACAGGGTTGGGCTATTCTTGAATCCTTGGGGCAGCACTGTCCAGCAGAGTTGTACTTTCCTACCAGTAGTGGGACTCTTCTATTCAAAGCCAAAAATTTTCTGGCTCTCCTCCTCCAGGGGAATGCAAAAGAAAGCATCTTTTAAATCTAACGCTGCAAAATATACGTTATTTTCAGGTATCGTAGACCGCAGAGTGTAGGGGTTAGATACTGCAGGATGAACTACAGTGAACTTATTTTCTCTTAAATCTTGCACCATTCTTGAGATTGACATTTCCTTACTGGTAGAATAGGGGTGTTATACCCAGACTGAAATTCCCTTAGTAAGCCATTTGCACAAAGGTGTTAATTAGTGGTGCTAACCCCACTCTAGCCTCTAATTTCATTGGATACTGCTTTTTCCTTACCGGTTGTGGTCCTGATTTTAATTCCACCTTTACTGGAAGAGCATTCTTTGCTCATCCAGGTTTCTCAGAGGCCCAAACCAAGGGTATTACAGCATCTAAAATTTCCAAGATCCTGGTCTCTTCCTGTTTATTTTCAGTCAATAAGCACAACTGAGCTTCCCACACTGTCTTCTCAGGCACGTGTAGCTGAAGGGACTTATCAGAAAATGTCTGTTGTGCTTTCAATTTACATAATAGATCTCATCTCAACAATGAGCAGAGGCACTCTGGCATGTATAGAAATTCATGAGTTAAGGTAGTACCTTCAACCATACATTCCACAGGTTTTAAAAATGGCCTTGAAGTGTGTTTTCCCATGACCTCAACAACTGGCATATGCATTTTACTTAAAGGTCCCTTACAACTAATTACTACTGAATGGGTTGCCCCACTGTCTACTAGAAAATCAAGTTTCATTTCCCAGCTTAACTGGAACCTGGGGGTCAGCTGGGGAAATTTTAATGTTTTCCCCTGGTCTCTGTCAATCTGAATCTGAGGCTCCTAGCATGATCAGATCTGCCCCAGGTGCCAGCCCTGCCTTGGGCCACTGTCCTTTTTTCGTAATCTTTCCCTCTTTGGACACTTATTTTTCCAGGGCCCTTCTTCCTTACAGTAAGCACACTGATTTTGTCCTAACGGCCCAGAGAAGATGTGATTATTTGTGCAACCTCTTCCCCTACCATTACTACCACGCCTTGTGAACTCTCTACTCCTCCTCTCCCTCTCATTGAACTCTCAGTAATTGCTGCTGCCAAAAAGGCACCCTATAATTTTCTATCCTTCTGCCTCTCCTTCTGTCTCTCCTTTTTCTTGACTTCATCTGGAGTATTATAAACCTTACAAACTATTTCATTTAATTGTGAAATTGACGTTCCTCTGGGACCATCTACCTTTTTTAATTTTCACCTGATAACTGGGGCAGATTGTCCAATGAATTACGTGTTAAACATTCTCCTGTTCACCTCATCTTCTGGATTCAAATCTGTCCATGATGTCTAGCAACATCACACAACCTTTCATAAAATACTGGTGGATTTTCTTCACTTCCTTGTCTTATTTCATATAACCTTTGACACGTTCTTAGGTTTCAGAACTCCGTGTTGGACCCCATACAAAATTAATTGCTGATATTGTTTAAACAGATTTTTCCCTGCACTGATAGATATTTGGATCCCATTCTGGATCAGTCCTAGGCATGTGTCTGGCAGGGTCATCATTAGCATTATGGCATTCATTTTCTTCCCTACCCATTTCTAACACCAAGTGCTTCTCTTCTGCTGTAAAAAAAAAAGTATTTAACATTGCCTGAAGAGCTTCCCAAATAGGGTTATGGATTACTATTATTGTTTTCAACAACCGATACATCTTTTCCGGATTTTCGTGGTATGATCCTATTGACTGTTTCCAATTCAACAAATCCAAGGTAGTAAAATGTACATGTACAAACACAGGCATTCCCTCCACCCCAATTGCTTGTCAGAGGAATACTTGTATAGCCGGACACCGTCCTCTAGTCCTTCCTGAGACTGGACTAAAAGTCTCTTTCCCTCCCTTCTGGGAAGATCCCTCTTCCTCACTACTGCCTTCACTTACTGGTTCCTCTTTCCTGACTCCTGATACCAACAGCTGTATGTCCTCTGGCTCCTCTGGCCCTTTAAGTCCTTTAATACACCTTTGCTGTATATCACATGCTGAGCAACACCACTGCTTTTTTTTCCCTTGCTCACTTTCAGCTAACACATATATACTGTTAGGATCATTATCTAACAATTTTAATTTTTTTCCACAACATGAAAAACAGATCAACATACAGTACTTCATCCCACTTATCCATCTTCCTACACAACAACATCAATTGTAAAATAGTATTATAATTCAAGGTCCCATATTCTGGCCACTTTTCATCATTGTCAAGCTTATACACGGGCCACCATTGTCCACAATATAATTTTTCTTTTGTCAGGGGATCCCATCTGAATTTAGTCCAATGTTTAAGGATACATCCTAAAGGGGTACAAGGGGGTATCTCAGTGGAGGAAACTGAACCCATACTGAAATTATTTCCCAGGAAAATCTTCTTTAATTACGGTGTCATACACTCAGCTTTTAGGAAGAAATCCCCCTACTTCTCATTCCCCGCATCTACGTGTAGAAGAGAACTAAGCTCCTGCTGTGGTCCTTTAATGGAACGACTTATGCAGAGCAATCAGAATCCAAAATAAAAAATCTTCCCTTGGATATCTCATAGAGCCATTGCACCGTTGTGTCGCTTACAGCCTCACTCCCAACTGTGGGAGAGAGGAACCGATGAAGTCCTTAATCCACAGGGCAGCGTGCGCTGGAGTCCAGTCGGACCCCTTCCCCCCATCAGGTACGGCAAAACGATCCCAGCAAGGCTGTCAACACAGTCCCATCTGGGTTGCCAGAAACTGTTATCTCCCAAACAGGGTTCGTTACCCAGTGTGCAATAAGCCAAATTTACACAAAGAGCTGCAATACCAGTTTATTTCATATTTGGGCGAAGGGTGCTAGGTGGTAATTCCACAAAGCTAGCACACCACACAAGAGGACTTCAAGGTATTTATACACTTCAGGCTACACAAACACACATTTACTATAATAAACATTGCTTACTGTCTTATCACTTTATCCCTCATCAGTTAACAACATGCTTCATCTCTATTTAAAGTTACAGTTTGTTTTAATTTTTCTCCGCAAGCTCGAAGGGTCTTTATTCAGGCAGGGGTCTTTGAAGCAGTGGGCCCCGATTTTTACAGTTATATTGAGGATAGTCCCTCCAAAGAACACTCTAATTAAACTGATTTACAGTAAACAGTTTTAATGAGCCTCCGTGTTTCAGAATGTTTCTCCAAGGAGAATAGCTCCTGATTAGAAGTTCCTTACTAATCATGGTTGACAGTTGAAAGAACAGAATCCATTCTATCTGTCCTTTGTATTTCACGAGAAACACGTCTGGGCTACATCTGCACTTGCCTTCCCCAGCTAAAAGGAGCAGCACAGGTGCTGCTGACACCAAGCAATAACAATACCTTGAAATAAACTCTCAGACCTCCACTGAAGAAACGC